AAGCGATCAGCGCCGGAAATTCCTTATCTCCACCACTACAAGTTCTATTCGAGGAGTTCTCCAAATGCCATCTCCCCCCCCCAAGTTTATCAGCGTCTACAAATTGTCGTAGTTTATTTTCGTTTTTAGTTTTCAAGAATACGTGGAAAAGATTAGTCCTCGTTTCGTTAAGGGGTCTAAGACCGAGATAAAATACCCGATTAAGTTGGACAATTTGGGCATGGGAAAGGTCGTAAAGGGGATATCAAAAGTTACGGGTCAATTCTCAAGAAAAACGAAAAACATTTTTTATCCGAAGATCTGATCATAAGCTTACCCGATCAAATGAATAATGATCATTTGAAACCCGTGAAGCATCTGAAACAGCAGGTCACTGGCAGTCAGCATTGCGAATGTGTCGTGACTGAAGAAATCGGGCCAGGAAATCGCTGACATTTTTCACGCCGTTCACCACTGAATGCAAGCCAATCGCTAGCTGACGGCCAACGCATAAATCAACCTTGTTTTCGGATTTCCGACACCGTTTGCACCAACACCAGCCTTCCGTTTCAATGCGGTACCAGTTGGTTCGGGTATATCGGCTAGATGGTCATCTGGTCAGCGTCGGTGACAAAATAAGCTTGGGTCCACACTAGTAATTGTGGGGTATGGATATAATCTATTACTGAACGCAGTGAACGTTTTCATGGCGTTCGTACAACGAAGGGGGCACGTAATGGCGTTGACGAGATTTTTTTGCTGAAAACGACCCAACAATTTTCCTCCTCTTTACGACCCCTCTTCCACAGCTGATAGACCACCTTAAACCAGGGCACGTCCTACCGTTGGGGGATATTTTGAAAGCGCTTCCCAGCGATCAATCGACCGGCAGGCCTTGCCGGGGCTTATCGACGTGCAACGTGCCCAGTAAAAACTTTTCCATTTCTGCCGTCGTGCGGAGGATAGACACCTCCGTTAAACCGCTTAATCATCAGAAACAGGGCACATCACAAATCGTGTAGTCGCTGGGAAGGAGGGGTGGGGTCGTATTTGGTCTGAGAAACTTTTGTTCATACTTGAATTTTCTTGTTTCCCGGACACTATAAGGGGGAGGAGACGGTCGTATTTGCCTTCTGAAAAATCAGCTGCGTTGGAAAAGCCCCCTAACCCGACCTTGCGAAAACGGCCGTATGTGCAAAGGGATTGCGTAGAAAGCGATTTCTGTATGTCTACGAACAAGAACGTGGGCATGGTCGTCCGGGCGGTACTGTTCATCGGTGGAACGGGGCGATCTTGTCGGGTGCCCAGAGTATGCATGGTAAATTGTTCTGACAATTTTCTTCTACTTTAGCGGAAATATTCTGCTCAAATCACCACAGGGATACTTAATTGCTTGAAAAGGTCCATATTCAGACAGCCTTCAACTCGCGCAAGTTAAAAAAAAACTGCCCACCGCAGCTGTGCCAAGGCAATCGCCGCTGGGTTAATGGGAAAAGCAGTACTGGGGAGCAGCTGTAGTGATTACTATCAATACGACGACGCCCAGGTGCAGGTTCAAGTCCTCTGAGCACGAAATGCCTGCCCATTGCCAAGTCATTGCCCTTTGGCATAAGTTCCAAGTGAGATCAACCTAATCACAAATACCTCTAACTTCCTAAACCTACAGAAACCAGTCGTTATTCCATGGTAAAATCTGCTCGTTCTCAGCCGCCTACCTGTAACTTTTACTGCTTCGCACTCGGGTAGTCGTACTGCCATCAGGATTTGTAATCACCTTCCGTGGTTGACGCAGGAATCAGTGACGATTGTGAGCGCATATGAGCGAAGAGATCCGGGAACATTTTGACTGAAAAACGGAAAAATATAACGAGTTTCAGGAGCAGGGCTTCTATTAAGGAAGACATCCAATTGGAATGGGCCACAGGGTATAGCACAAGGTCCAAAATGCAGCCATGCAAAATGATTCCCCAGCTGGTTTACCCGACCTGTCCATGAACACTTGGCTCCGATTAAAATGGTTACAATTACGGAACTACACAAGAATGCTGAGATATTGGCAAAAGTCGGACCCGGGACGGGACTCGAACCCGCATCTCCCGCTTACCGGGCGGTTGCGTTATCCATTACGCTACCGGGGCCACTTTTGCCTTGCTGTAAATCTGCTGTAAGGCCATTGCACAAAGTGCCATTGAGCTTAAAAGGCAAAAGTGGCCCCGGTAGCGTAATGGATAACGCAACCGCCCGGTAAGCGGGAGATGGGGGTTCGAGTCCCGTCCCGGTTCCAACTCTTGCCAATATCTCACAATCACATTCTTGCGATAACTTTCAGAGCGCTCACTGTGGCGTTAAATAGCAGCTATCAAACCAATACAGGATTACAACATTTTCTCCCTGAATCGATTCCTATTGGTAGAAAGCACAGCCGGGGGCAGGCCAAAACCACGCCTCCAGGTACCGCCCCGATTGATTGCACGATATCAACTATATAACCTGAACGTAAGCTCACCCAGATTATCCTTCTCCTTTGACAGCATGTTCATAAAGGTATCCGGTACTTGGCCAAGAACACATGAGATCGCCATGTCCTTAAAAAATACTTTCAGCTTATTAGGCTAATTAGAATTGATTTTATAGTTTACTTTCATGGTTATGATCCTTTATAAATTTTATATCAATACGATTTTTGAAGGGTGGGGGAGGAAGAGAACAGGTGGT